TTTTTTTTTTTTTTTTTTTTTTTTTTTTTTTTTTTTTTTTTTTTTTTTTTTTTTTTTTTTTTTTTTTTTTTTTTTTTTTTTTTTGTGGCCTTGCTGATTTTTCTTCTCTGGTATTCATTCTAATAGACTTGCGATATATCTTATCTTGTTTATGCAGTCGTCATTTGTTGTTCTTGAGTTCTGATTAAATGGGAAAGTTGCTCTGTCGTGGACTCATCTTCTTTCTAGTTGCCCTAATTGGTAATAGCGCAATTGAGGATTATAGATTTCACAAACTGGGAGGAGTTATATTCAAGATTGACTTGGAAAAGGCTTCGATGGGGACTTGATTGAAATTATGTTAGGTCGCTTAATTACTCTGTTTTGGTTAATGGTAAGCTCAGAGGAGAATTTTGCCTCCACACAGGGGGAACCTTAGCCCTTTCTTTTTCAACAACACGTTCAGTACTGTGTTATCAACAAAAACATTGCAAATCCTTTTTTTAGTAAATGCCAAATAACATATACTATTTATTAGAACCAGCTTGCTCAGGGCCTAATAAGAGGAGCTGCACCATACATCATGACATAGTTACCAGCTTCCTCTTCTTCAAATTCGTTATCATCATATTCTAATTCTTCAGGTTGGCTATTGTCAAAAGGGGATTTGGGTGGAGTACCATTGGGCAGGAGTTTCGTATTGGGGTTTTTCCATTGTCATAAATGCTCAGCGAGTTGTTTTGTCTTTAGCCACAGAAAGGGCATTGTGCGTTGGGTCACTAGGCAAGGTTTGTAGTCATTGAGAGAAGCTCATTTTCTAGGATGATTAAAGTGATTCCTAAGGGATTCTTGCAGGGTTGCTAATGTAATGAACCGCTTCGATAAAACCACTCTTCAACATACTATTTACTGTCTGATTATGTTTGGTATATCGTTGAGGGTATTTCAGAATTTTTTTATTCAAATTTTCTGGTAGAGGAAGAAACCTGGCTCTGAGTTGATGTTTCATCCTCAACTAGAAGTGTATGGGTTTTCCTTCCTTCATGAGTTCTATTCAGTTGAAATTGCTCACTAGGCTGCTGGTCCCCTCCACCCACAATTTCTGAGCAACTATTTTAACTCTTTTTTTCTTTTAGTATGTTCATATTCCCGTGCAATAATTTTCTACTGCGTGTACATTCAAGAAAATCTTCTATGTGATGGTGGCCATCAAAATATGATAGATCATCCTTTTGCTTGTATTGATTGGCTGAACACTTGAGGAGAATTTTCTGAATCCCAAACTTGTTGCACTACCCATAGTATAAATTTTTAAATTCTTCTTGTGTTTCACTCTTAGGTGCTGGTTCATGGATGAGCCCCAAGGCTTGCCAGACAAAGCCAAACTAATCAGAAGTTCTATTTTGGCATTTGCCATGCGAAATGAACTAATCAGGTTTTGTTAATCAGAAATGAAGAATAATTATAAAACAAATTTGAATTAGGAGCCTGAAGAGAAAGCATTGAAGTTTGCCAAATCCTAACATTGCCACACGATCTATTTAGCCCCACCAACGTACATGTGATTTTAGTATTTGGCATTCTGAAATAGGGATGAAGAGAGAAATGGCTCTATCTTGTCACTACTTGGACGCATGCCTTATGCAGCGCTTAGGTTTTCTGATAAAATCCTCGAAGACCATTTAAACAAGTGAATTTTTATTCTTCTAAATTCATTCCCCCCGAGCAGGTTGATCATTGAGTGGTTGGGGTTGGGGTTGGGGTGACGGAGAAATTTCACAAACATCTTACTTTTTATCCTACTTAAATAATATTTCCTTCGTCTATTGCCTTTTCTCTTACCCCTTTCTGGTATATTCTCTACAAATACTTCTTATCGACTCTTGATTAAGTCATAATCAGTCTGCAGAAATAGACTCCAAGTGTCATTTTCTTTCCTATTTATTTCTTCTCTCTCTTATTTATTTATTTGTTTATTTTTTAGAATGGGTGTTTTGTTCTGATGCTATTATTCATTGAGAAATCTTTTCAGTCAAGCTAGTTAGTTGTAGTTTGTAATGCATGTTTTTACTTTTAGGTCCTTGTGGAAAAGGGAAAAAATGTTCAACATAATGGCAAACTAGAGGAGAAATAACTACATTTTCTCCATTTAGTTTTGAGTGTCACATCTTAGTTATATAACAAATGGCGTCTTATATTTCAGGGTTTTCGGAAAATTGAGACAGATTGCTGGGAATTTGCAACTGATGGATTCGTTAAAGGACAAAAACATCTGTTGAAGAACATCTACCGAAGGAAAAACATACAGGGCACAGATCAGCGTAGAGCGTCACAGCCCCAAGACAATTCTGAGGGACAAGGTGAACTACATGATTATACAGGGCTGTGGAAGGAAGTTGAGAATCTTAAAATAGACAAAAATGGTGTAATGCAGGAATTGGTTAAACTTAGGCAGCAGCAGGAAACTTCAGAGAGCAAGATGCTCCTATTGAGAGACCGCCTTCAAGGTATGGAAAAGAATCAACAGCAGATGCTATCATTCTTAGTAATGGCAGTGCAAAGCCCTGGATTTTTGGTTCAGTTTCTTCAACCAAAAGAGAAGAATTGGCGCATGGCTGATGCTGGCAATATGTTAGAACAAATTCCAGATGATAATCAAGTACCTTCAAATGGTTTGATAGTCAGGTATCAACGTCCAATAGATGAACTGCCAGCACCTCTACTTCCACCAGTGTCGGGTCTGGGGAAACAACAAGAATCTGATCCATTCCCTGATGGAATGAAGGACTTTTTCCTTAATTCCGACTTCATGAAAGTACTTATGGATGAAAAGTTAGACAATCACAGCCAATTTGTTCTACCAGATGTACAGGATGTCGCATGGGAGCAGCTTCTTTTAGCGAGCACTGTTTCTTGTAATTCAGATAATGTTAGAAAAGTTGACGACGAACGGGAGCCTATGGACCATGAGGACCATGAACTGGATATGGAAACAATTGATACTCGAACTCATGAAGAGAATCTGCAAGATTTCGAACTTCTAATCAAACAAATGGAGAAAGGTGAAAATTTCGGGTTGCAACCAAGGTTGGATGAATCGTATATCGAGAAATCAAATACTGTTAATCTTATGGAACTTATGGCATCTGATCAAGAAATCCTATATGAAACACCGGCGAAGATGCAAGGCCATTAAAAGAATTATATGTTTTTCTGGCGGGTTTATGTTTCTTCATGGATTTAAAATCTCAAAGATCAGTACAAGTTTCTTTTGTCTTCACCATCCATACCAAGTAACCATTGGTTGGCTATGAAGTTATGGTGATAAGCTGCTGCTGCTATTTCAATGTCTTGAGCAGAGTATTGAATTTCAAACAGGTTTAGGAATTTCGGCCATCTTTTTCTTGGTGATAACCTCAAGGTAATGTCTTTGTTTCAACTTGCAAGCATTATATCTTGTGGGCGTTGTTACAATTTTAATGCACACACAGTCTATATATATATATATATATATATTATCAATTTTGAAGAAGTGGTTTCTCAACTGCTTCTTGCCTGCCTTTGCCATATGTTTTTCTGTATAGCTTGGCAGACATTCCTCTTGTTATGATCACTAGATATTAAATTTATTTGATGTTCATTCTCTCTCTTGCATGTGCGTGCTCATGTACGCATATCTCACGCGAGATTTGTTCATTTTTCTTTATTCTTTGAATATTTGTAATGTTTTGATTGCTTTTTAAATTAGTCATTTTTAAGTTATTAGTTAAAACTTTTGCTTGAAAAATGATAAATATAGATTTATGTATTCATTCCTATATTTTGGTATAAGGCTTTCAACACTAAAGATCATATCTATATTTTGTAGACTATAGCAACTAGATACTCAGAAAATGAAACATAAAATCCAAAATGTTACTGAAAAAATGTACGATCACACATCACCTGAGTCATGAACCTCATGCAACTTCAAAATTGGCACATCGCAAAATACCATAATGGGTGGTCACCTAAGCATACGAAAAATTAAAATTCAAATTAGAAAAACTGACTTTTATTATCCTCAATCAAGTGACTAGCACAGCCAAGTCACCTTTCCAAGGGAATACAATATCCAAACCGAAAATAATGGTTGAATTACGAACTTAGACCATAAACTTATAGAAAAAATTTAATTTTGTGTATAATAAGTCTATAAACTAAAAAAAATGTTGTAATAAGTCATATAAATTTTTATTTCCTAAACTTTAAATTACATTTTTAAATTTTTTTTGTTTAGATCTTTCAAAGCTTAAGTTCAAAACTGTAACTGAGAAACACTTGCCGATCCTTCATAACTTTTTTAGTATTAAAAGAAATATACAATTTTCTTTAGAAAGTTCACCAAAAAGGAAGAAACTCGAGTTTTAAATGAATTGGACAAAATGCATGCTTTTAACTTAGCTGTTCTTTCTCTCCATGATTGAAGGCCGATGTCCATTTCACATTTTCCCTCTTCTCTACAGAAAATGAGAGAGGATTCATCTTATTGTTAATAGGAATTTACAGAAAGGGAGATTACAATTACGAAGCAGAAAAAACTAGGAACTCCGCACATCCCTCTAACCTCTGCTCTTCGTGTACAGGTTCGTATACACGACACTGGAAGCACGTGCCTCTAATCCAAGGAGAATGCTCCATTGCAGTACCTGTAGAGCCCAAATACAAAATAACTTCTCAGTTTGTAGGCAAAGACAGAGATTTTTCATTTTTTTGGCAAAAATCCTCTTTGTGCAGCTTCTTGACATAGGCCAAGTAAACTTTTATGTAACTACTCTCTTTGCAATGTTCTGACCAAGCTCGTTTGCCTTAGGGGTGGCTCCAGTATTTTTCATCCATCTTATGACATATTCCATTTCTCTTAGTAAAATAAGGGCCCTTTCATCATCCGTCAATCAATAGAAAATGACTTCAACTATTCTCATGACTCGATTGTCTTATTCTACATTCCTAATACATTTGGTTGTTAAGGTAACTCGTAATATTAAAACCTAGGTAGGTAACCAAACCCATCTCCTCTAACTTCTTTATTGTATACATGTCCTTTTTAACCCGAATATAAATCCATGGTAGTTGACTACTAGTATCATTCATCATACATAATGTCATGTATTTTAGACATCCACGTTAGATAATTAAAATTAAAATCGAACATAAAACAATACCTGTTGCTGAATTTCTCCACCATATCAGAGGCATAGAGTACAGTTTCGTTGGCTTTCTCCAGAACCATATAAAGCTCTTTCCGTCTTGTGATTCGAGAAATAACCCATGCATTGTTCTTTGCTCTAATGGTTACTTCCACCTCCTTTTCCTCAACAACACCATCCTGTTTTGCTCGACTCTTCTCCAGATCAATCTTTTCTCTGAGTTTGCTCATGGCAAGTAAAGATTCCTTTGTGAGGGTGGTGACTTTTCCTGGAGGTGAAGCCCTGGATATTTGTCTATCACCATCTATCAGTAAATAACGATACCCACCAACATGATAAGCATTTTCCCCACCCCAGCCTTTTGACAATTTTTCTTCAACTGTCATGATCTTCAGGGAAGCCTAGAAGATAGCAAGAAATGCATCCAATGAGTGGAAGGAATTCAAACAGAAGATTCATAAATCAGTTTAGATAGATATTCAAGAGATTAGCAAGAGTAGTCAAATAGAATATTAAGGCAATGTTATTAAGGCAGTGTTACCTATCACGATGCTGACTACGTTTTTACATTTATTTCGGTAAATTTTATTCTTCTAAGTTTCCTTAACTTGGTTCAGACTCCAATAAACGACAAAATCGAGATGATAATTGAGAATCAATAAATATTGGAACCCTATATTTTCTCCCTGTACTCCTCTCTTCCTCTAAACTCTATTTATTGTCCAATTTTTTACACTCTTCTCCCAATGTAAATAAATAATATTTCCTCTCCTCTTGTCCTTGTACTGTTCTAATTCTTCCCTTTCAATCTGTCCAACATGTACTGCTTTGGCATAAATCACCATTTCACAAGCAACAACTATATCCACATAGGGAGAGAATCATTTAGGGAAAAAAAATGGTAGTAAAATAATAAAATCAATTAAAAGAGATGGGAAGCTAACATTTTCAAGAAAGTACTGCCTGATGATTGAAATGCCTTGTTCCCCATTAGGTATTGATGAAGCAGGAACAAGAAGAATCAGTGTCAGACTTTTATGATGATGTACATACAAGTACATTTGCTTCTCTGTTTGAAAAGGCCAGATTTTTGGGGTAGAATTGACCCGGCCACTTGCCTCCATACCCCAAATATCAGTTTCTAGAAAACCATTCTTTCCTTTTGACCATTTTCCATGCTGCAAGGGTCGTATGACACGATTACCAACATTTCCTCCATGTTGGGTGACATGAGAAACAGTATTTCCTCTAAGTAAATAGGACCAAGAACTTGCGCTAGAAGATAAGACACTTGGAGTTAACCTCAGAACAGCATATGAAAATAAATTTGTAGTATCCTCCTGAAAAAGAGGTTGAAATGGCTTTAAAATTTTGAATGATCTATATTATATTTCAAAATAAAATTCAGTTATGGATATGTATTAGGACTTTAGCATCCCCAAGTGATTCAGGTTTTATAATATTAAAATTTAATAGTACAATAAGTTATGATGAACATTAAATACTCAGAGATCAAACCATACAGGAGAAAGCGATGTAGACACCAGTAAGTCCTGAAATAAAATCAGAGAGCGGCATGATGCGTTTTCAATGCAAGAATCAAGTGTTCTAACAAGTGCCTGCACAAAGGTATATAATGCAATTAACTCCGATGAACAAAAATAAAAATGCCAACGAAGCTCCAACTCTAAGCTACTTTCTTTTTTCCTGACGAATCAGGGTAGCATTGAAACCAAATAGTTTCTCCATAACGTTAAGTTGACAGTTATTAAAATTCAAATTCAATGTCAACAATTCATATTTAGATTTAAAGACAGATTGATATCAAGACTTAAAGCTCTACAACTCTAACTGAAATAGCATAAAAGGATCCCAAAAGTAACCCAAGGAAAGGCACAATGTAGATCTCTCATGAGCGCTCCTTCCTTTTTAACAATGTACAGCAAACATTGTGGTGGTTTCAGAGGAATTAAAACAGATTGATCTAAAGCCTTAAAGCTCTACGACTCAAAGTGAAATAATTGGACTTTTGAAGACGAGGTGGTTTTGGAGGGATTTTTTGTAACAATGTACCACATATATCATCTCATTGGTGCTCCAACCGCAAGAAATTCTTTTTCAACTACAGCCTCCTAAAGATTATTAATGATTGGGAGACTCTGCTCTTGTTTCTTCCTCCTGAGTATTAATATACACTATCTCTGTTTCTTGTTAGTGAAAAAACAGAGAATCGGTATATTCGTTGTTTCTTAATAAAAAGAGAAAACAGGGGGGAGGGGAATAATAATAATAATTAAGTGCATGACACGCATACAAGTACTTGAAGTTCTTTACAAGGACAAACCTGAACTTCAATGGCAGCATCCCGCCCTATGGTCAGCATATGTACAGTTCCACGTTCCTTTAAACAGTCAACAAATGATGGTAACTGCAATTTCTTCCCAACAAGAAAATCTGCATCGAAAGAGAAGCAAGGAGTTAGGCATGAGATACAGCAACTTCAATCTCAATCTGACATTCAGCAACGTCAATATTACCACAGCAGCACCTATCCAATGGAGACCGCTTTTGACATGCTGACATTTAGTAACTTATAATGCAATGTTTTGAAACAACGGTAACATATACTTGACTTCATGAAAAGGTAATTTAGATGAAAAGTGGCTGTAAATGACTTACCACTCAAATAATCCATGATGAAGGAATACAAATGTGATCTGGAAACTTCTCCAGTGGGTTCTTTCTCAAGTAACAACCTTATAGGACCGTGAAACATTAGAAAAAGAGAGTGAATTTCCTTCAGAAGCTTCTGCAATGCATCCATCCGCCAAGTTGCTAGTACCTCCTTGTTTTTCTCCACTACCTACCCCAGCATAGATAACTCGTTAGAAAAACAGAGAAAATAAAGCTTGAGAATGTTCTTTTTAGAGAACTACCAAGCATGACTGGAAACTGTGCACAGGTCATTTGCAACTACATTCATGGTTGAAATAAAAGAGACCAAAGAAAAAGGGTAAGGTACATTTTTTTTTTCTCAAAAAGAAACTTGATAAGTGGTAAGTCTTTAATTCTACCATATTGAACTTCCTTTAACCCTAAGAAGCCTAGAGTAAAATGTGAACGTTTCATTTGAATATATGTCAAAACAAACAGAGATGTCACCATAAATAATCAAGAAGTATTATCAACAAAACTCTAATGCCACGAGGCTGAAAGTAAATCTGAATTCTAGGATAAAACACTGGTTATTTTGTAAAAACGAGGACATTTAACAAGTAATATTAGCAGTAAAGAAAGGAGGAAAAAAAACCAAAATAAAGTAGTCGACGATTAGAAGTAATGTGTAAAGAAATTATTGAACCAGATCAAAATGTTTCCATCGAAGTTTGCATGGATAATAAACATAAAATATGAGACCAAACGAATGCGATCCCCAAACAAAATAATACTACAACCATTTACTGATACACGATTTCAAACAAAACTGTACCAAAACCATCCATATATCTGGCTCCGCCTCAAAAAATACATGAGAGTGCTTCTCTGCTTCAATGACCTCACAAGCTGCCTCTGGGGAGAATGTTCTGCATTAAGTTTTCATTGTTCATTTAGCTACCAACAACAAACAAGAAAATGTAAATATATTTAAGGAATCTTTAAACATAACTCAGTTCGACTAGGTTTTACATTGTTATCTCATGAAAACCACAATAGAAGCAGGCCTGAGTAACTCTCTAAATATTTTACTAAAGAACGTAACTGGAGGAGTGCACAAGGACCTTGTTTGGTGAGGATTATTTTCAACCCAAAAGAAAAATATGCGTGAATAATAGGTTCGTTTGTCTTTTATACATATATTACAACATACGAGTACAAATAAAATTGAAAACAACAAAATTAAAAAGTTGCAAAAATGTGACAGATTAACAATATAAACAAAGCAAGAATTTTTATTAGAGAAAATGTTTATTCGATTATTTCACAACCAGTTCCCGATGTTAAATGAGCAATTTCTGTCATTCTTATTTCTTATATCTACTCTTCAAATGTTTCTGCACGGTGGTTACCTATTGAAAAAAGGGGGAAAAAATTATACTGACCTTGTAAATGTGATGAGTCCTTCACTGAGCCCAATAATATACAATTGTTTTGTAAAGGGTAAATCGGCTGGATAGAAAAACAATATCTTATCCAGCTCTTGACCCTCCTGTTGTCCTCTCCTTGAATCAAATACGCAGAGTTTAATGGCCTCGGAAACGGCAGAAGTAGCAGTTGACAGGCCCATTATTTACTTTTCAAGTCAACATCCTTCAGAAAGGAGAAAAATACCAATTAGTGATTCTTGCGAAAAGACCTCAATTAGCTGAATTTACCTAAAAATGGGCATAAATCAGAGTCCAACACCACTAAACTTAAATTCAACGAAGTTGTCGGAGGAGAAGGCGTACCTCTCCAGAAAGATGAATTGAAGCGAGCCTCAACAAAACCCTAAATGCGAATGATCGTTGCACATGCCGGTGATTGGAGATTCGAGCATTGGTGCATTGGAAGAAAAGAGCCGCGTGGCTCAAGTATGAACTCGTTTGAGCCCTAAAGGACGACAGTTTCATGAATCGAAGCCAGACAGCAGAACCAAATCCAAGGTTTGGCGGAACTTCCAGAAACCACGCGCGGGAAAGAGACGAAAACTTAGCACTCTTGCATGTACTGAACAAAATTTAAGGAAAACGTCCATCAAAATATTTAAAAAATAAAAAGTTCCGAAAATATATTT